TAGTATGCAGCTACTTGAATTAGGCAGCTATGTATGCTGATATGGAAAGAATCACAAAGATATATTTTCCAAAGGAAATAAGAGCACAATTTGCATGTGTATAATAATCCCTTTAAAAATATAAAAATATATATTATATATATTATATGTATTTTGTATGTTTATAAGAATGCTACTATATGCATGTAAAAATTTTTAAAGAAAACAGTGTGTTTACTTTTGTTAGAAATTATGGGGAGGTAGGTTTTTTACTTTTTAGTTTTATATTTTTATATTTCAATTCTATGTTGTAAATTCTAGTAGAGGCTATGGGATATTTTTGCTTTTTTTCATACTTTTCTACAATAAATTACTTCAAAATTTTTTTTTAGAAATCAGTAAGGATACTATTCATATGTGTTTAAATTTATATAGCTACTTGGTAATATTCATCAAAAATTTTAAACTACCCACCTTTTGTTCCAGTATTTTAACTACCAGGCATATATACCACCAATATTCCCAAACAAGAGCATGATGGTTTTTGAGAATGTTTGGTGCATCATCTATAGAAAACCTGGAGCAAAATACCTGGCAACAGGAGAGAGGTTAAGTGACTCACAGTACATCTAAACAATGGGATATCAGACAATGGTTAAATATAATGAGATAAATAAAGATTAGAAAAATGCCCATGGTTGAATAGCAGTAAAATAACCAAAATATATTTATATATACAATGGAGTCACATCCAGTGAGGGGATTTGGTGTTGAAACAAATTCACAAGGTGGAAATCAACGGCAGTCCACCCTGCACCTGTGCACACTAGCACCACACTCAGCTCCATGTGATGTTCATCATCCAAAAGCTTGGAAACTTGGATCCCCTAAGGGACAGCAGAGTTGAAGCTTGCATCCCAGGATCTCTCAAGGCTATGTGCTCATTAGGAATAATGGCCCAAACTTCTCTATTTAGATTATTTTCTCTTTGTATGTTTCTATGTATTTTTTTATGTGCTCATTAGCCATTTTGGTATGATATAATGCAACTTCATTACATACAAGTTTATCTATGGAAAAATACCTGAAGAACTACCCACCAAAATGTTAACCATTTATTTCTGAAGGGAAAGAAATGAGCATTAAAAACTAGAACATAATATTTTTTCTTGGTGCCATTTAAATTGTTTGATTTTTGAGTATGTTATTATTTTATACTTTAAATATCTACACAGAAGTTTTAAAATTTGGTATGACTAACACAAATTCAAGGATGTATGGAGAGGCATGAGACAAGGATGTGAAGAGAATTTGGATTTGATTCTGTAGATAATGAGAATCACATGCAGATTTTTATCTTGAAGGGTCAAGTAATTTAATCTATATTTTTGGAAAGATAACATATAGGGTTGAGAACTAGAGATGGCACTAGTGAGAGGTAGGCTTAGTTTAATGTACTCACTCTCTTTTGGTCTTTATTTATAAAACAAAAATGTTCTTCAATCTAGTTTTGGGTAGACACACCTTGCACTGGAAATTCCCAGGGTGTGATACTCAGGTTCTTTAATGACTATAAAATCAGTCAAACAGTGCAGACTTTTAGTCCCTCCTTGTTTCATCTCTCATGTCATCCTCATTTGGTGTCCTGGCATCCTGCTTACAGATGTCTTGGGAAGGGGGAAATTCAGTCTCCTTCCAAGTCATATGGATGGACCAACAGTGATAAAGGGCAGGAAGTTTAGTAGAGGCTGGCCTTATTGGAAATACAGAGACTGGAAGTGGAGGGTGTCAGGATACAGTTTATAAGTTGTCATTTGAAGCTGGTCTAGAAACTCAGTGGCACTGAGTTCTAGCTAACTGACCAGGTCCCTGTGAGTTGTAAGAATGTCAATATCTTGACCTGGTGACATTCATTAGGTGTTAATTTCCTCTAGTGCAGTTTCAGAAGAAAACCACTGTGTGAATGTAAGGTGGGTGAGAGCCTGATGGGGTACAAACCACTGATTGTGAGAAGTGTTTGGGTGAGGTGACCCAGGAACCCTCCAGCAGAAGAATTAGCAGTCAGGGAGGAGAAGCACCATTTGTATATTTATTTGAGTCCAGAATGTTGCTTAGTCTAGTTAGTAAACACTGTCTAAGAACATGATAGCAGGGCTGGTGAGATCCTCTAGTTTGGCAGAGCCCTATCCTAACCAAAACAAACCTTTGAAGGAAGATAATTTCCTGTCCATTGTTCCATTGAGATAATGTCAATCTGTAAGTCTGAGGCCCACCTTAATATCATTGAAAGAGATTGGGTTTTTTGGTTATATACCCAGCCAGTTCATAGGACAGGCTTTCCTAAGAAGCATGGGTTATGACCACATCATAAAAAATAACTATCTTCTCTGTTTCTAACTCAAATCCAGGAACAGTCTACTGATCCCATCTCTTTTTACCTTTGTGGTAACTTTATTTTGGACATTTTGTTATCTTCTTTGCCCACTGACCTTGATTAGTACTACTCTAAATAGATCTTTCCAACTCATTCATTTATTCATTCCTTTGTATTTTGACAAATACTGTATTTATTGAGTGCTAATGTGGGTCAGGAATTATGCCAAGCATTAAGAATATAACTATGAGCAGAGAGAGCCACAGTCTGTGCCTTAATATTGCTTAAAGCCTAGAGGATGATTGAGGTATTAAACAAAAAGTAACAGTATGAACATGAAGCCACACTGTGATAAGGCAATGATGGAGTAGTACAGGTGAGGTTATATAAAAGGAGAATCACCTGGTCAGGAATGTCAGCAAAGGCTTCTCTGGGGAAGTGACTCTGCTGAGCTCTTCCTTCAGGAATAGAAAAGCCTGACTAGGCTCCTGGCCAGGCTGAGTTATTTCCTACCAGAAGATTAAGCAACATTTCCACAGTTACTTTATGGAGAAAAAGACAGAGATAGAGGAGTGGTGGGGGAGGCAGGGTGTGTGTGTGGGGGGAGGGGGGGAGAGAGAGAGAGAGAGAGAGAGAGAGAGAGAGAGAGAGAGAGAGACCTGTTATTCCATAGCTGTAGTTAAACAGGGCTTACTCAGTCATATCCACTTAACTGAAGGCTAGTTAAGTGTCTCTGAAAGACAAAAGGAGTAAAAAGAGAGCAAACAAATGTATGCCACTATATTTATTAAAATGTTGCTCAATATTTATATAATTGAAAGGTATAGTCTCTTCCTGAATCTGTGGTGTCAAAACTCAGACATGTTCCACCTACTTTAGGCGCTCCCCCCACCCCGAATGTTCTGTTTTGTAGGCAGCCAGTAAAGCCTGTTTCCGATCACTTTTCCAGTTTTTCAAGGCCCTTTGAGATTTTGATCAGCAGTTATTTCTTTCTCCTCCCAAGGAGACCTGCTTTAAGTTGTCTATGACTAGAACTGATGTAGTTATTTAATTATGATGCTGAAGGAAATTTGAGAAGAAAATGTAATTGTCAGGTGACAAATTTAGCTTTCTGGAATTCCCAGGATAGAATTTCCAGTCATAAGCAAAGATGCTATTTGACCTTTCTGGGTGGAGAGTCTGACTAACAATGTCCCTTCTCAGGAACCAGGAGCTCCAGTTGTCTGGTGCCTGCGGTAGCACTTGTGGGACTGCCCCATGGCCACGTGTTGCAAACTTCTCTTGTCTTCGGAATTTCCCCAGCTAAGAGAGGACTCATGAGTCAGGATGTTGGGAACTGCACAGGCAGGCACCTTGATTTTCAAGGAAGTTTGTCTGGCCAACAAATCATAAAAATAAATACAGTACATGCTATCTATTTAGAAAAATGTAGGAGAATGTATAGATGTGGAGAGACTATAATGGATACAGACACACATAAGATGACTCCCTATTTCCCAAAGAGACCCATAAAAATGATGGCTTCCGGGGCAAATGGATCAAAAGAATGAAAATTAGTAGGGACTACTTAACATGTTTTGTTACTTACCAGATCTTATACAATGCACTGGACTCACATATTAAACAGGGTTGATTGGCAGTAAAATAATGAATTCAGCAACAGTGTTCCACTGCTGCTGAGAGGCTGACAACTCTGACATGTAGGAGTAAGGAGAACAATTCCAAAATAATGGAGCCTATTACTGTTGAAAACAGGAAGAGATGGTCTACCTATGTATATTTAAAAAACATATATTTATACTTGAAATGTGTATTTAGTCACATCCATTATTCCTTATGAGCACCATGACATTCCCATATTACATGTTGATATGAATTTCTCATTCTGACTATAAACAAAATTCAAAGAGGTAGAGAGAGAGAGACAAAGAGTTAAAAACAACATTCACAGGAATTCCTAGATGACAGTATTATTATTAAGAATTTTAGCAACATCCCTGAAGACATTTCTATGTATATATACATAGATATTAGCATGATTTTGTATTTGCTACAAGGTTAAGATAGCATAGTATATATATACATAGTCACTCTCTTTTCTTCCTACTCCCTAAGAAGGAAAGTTTATGCACTTAGCAGTTTCTTCTCTCCCTACCTTATTATTCAGATTATGGAAACCACTGAAAAGATGACAAAAAGAGGGAACAGAGACAGTAAGAGAACTGATTGATGAATTTTGGGGTGAATTATGATTGAGACCAGAACAGGCTGTGGGGAAAGAGAGCCTTCTAGCTACTCCAGTGTGAGAGTTAGAGAACAAGATGAAGAAGGTGGGGTACAGAGGATATTTTAAGATGTGGTGCTGTAGGTTGGGAATGATATGTTCCCTAATGTTTTCTGAAAGTTGAGAACAAAGGCTGTAATTACTAATTGTAATGTCTACCAAAAGACATTACAAAATGTCTTTTGTAATGGACTGTTTCTGTGAATGTTGAGACCAGATCATAGCAGAATTTGGGATTTATTGGATTTATACATAAATGAGATTATACAACATCAACTATGCTGCTTTGTAATTTCTTTTCTTTAAAAACTACCATGGACCTTCTACTGAAGCCAACAAATATAAATCTCTAGGGTTCTTTATAGCAAATGTATAGATTCTCTTCCACGAGTATACCATATTTTTTAACTAGTCCATATTGGTGGATATAGGTTGTTTCTCATTGTGATGAACAACTTTGTATATCTTTACATATTTATATGTAAAGATACATATAACTATATCATTGACTATATGACTATATCATTGGAATATAATATTTATTAGATATAAAATTTTGTGTATAAAATGGAATGTACATTTTAAATTTTATTATACAATGCCAACAAAAAGTCATGCTAATTTATATTCCCACCACACAGAATATAAAAGCCCCACAACAATACAATCTCATTCATATCATTTCTTACCAGTTGGTGAGGATTACCACAACTTTGACAACATATCTAGAACAGACATACAAAGAATCTGAAAGATAAAGAGGATGAGGCAATCTCACCTAATATATTAGAGTGATCGAGTTCTACTCTGTTGGCCTCTCTAGAGGTGTCTTATCCATGGAAGGGGCAAATGATGATAACATCTGTTAAGCCACACAAAAACTAATGTTACCCTGAGAGGAGAGGAAGATACTTAAAATGGGCAAATAAAACTATTTCCAGTTCAACTTGTCTGGGTAATGGGGCAGACACACTATGGTGGTGAGATGGTGCATGTAGCAGACTTTGTAAATTGGAAAGATTGAAGCATAACCTGGGAAAACAATTACACCCTGCATCTGAATAATTAGTACTGAATTGTTTAGTTAGTAAAAGGGAATTATACACCCTGTGGTTTGACCTTGGATTTGAGTGTTATTTTTATGTTTTGCAACCTGATAGCCATATTTCCAGTAAATGAAGCATTTATTATAAAAAGTGCTGATGGGGTCAGTGCCAATTTGGACCACTATTCCTTGTGATACCCTGATATTAAAAGCCAGAACATCTAATATTGTACTTTCTCATAGCAAATGTACTATAGAGAGTATTTTCCTCTGTAAATCCATGTCCCCAGGTTGCCTCTGACTTTGGCACAGGAGGCCTGTTAATTCTATGCTTATTTATGCTCACTTTGTCTCCTGAAAAGGTGGGTCCAGACAGCCCTCCCTGAGTTTATTTTACCATATCAATCCTGCTGGACTCTTAAGGGCTTCATGCACCAGAACATCTGTATTTAACTTTGTTAGTCCCCACCCACAAAACCCATCTGAACTGGCACTGCTTCTGAATACACAAGTGAGACTAAATTACAAATGGAGAAAGTGTCTGGGATAAAATAAACTGTCACCAGGAAAAAACTGTCTTCTTCCACTTTCTTTTTTCTCTGAGGAAAACAGGAAATTGATCTTATTCTTAGGTGAGATTTATTGCTCTAATCACTTATCCCAGAATTTCTGATCAACAATAAGGAGGGAGTGGGTCCAGGTATCTGTTTGTAGTAATAAAGATTCAAATCTAATTTCTTCAGTTTTGTCTTTTATGTTCTCATTTTGAACTAGAAGAGCACAGAAAAGTGGGTTGAGGACCTCACAATTGGAGAATGTCTTGTATTGCCTGGTGACTAGGGTCCTCTGGAGATTAGATTGTCAGGATATTTAGATGCATAGAAAAACAAATGAATAAAACTCCTTCCTCTCTGGTACTTCTGAGGACAGGGTGTCCTCTATGATTGGAAACCTGGGTGAGAGGAGAAAATACTTTCTGTTAGCAAAGGATAGTGAATAGTAATTATTCTCAAGTATGTCTTCTCTGAGAGATGGTCTCAACATGTGAAAAACATGGTGAGTGAGAAGTGACCATATTCAGTATGATGTGCTTCATATTGATCTAATTTGGAGGACCCACCAGTGAATATATACAGGCCTGCTTTCCTTCAAAGGCTGCTTTGTGCAGTCTGCAAAATAAGAGAAGAGAGCCTTCTAATTCACTTGTCTCAAAAAATTAAAATAGAAACAGACTTTCCAGGATCCCTAAGGAGGGCACTATAGGATTTGTGTTGGAAATGAATCTGAAGACTTACAAGCAACTAGCAGATCAGAAATGTAGACAGGTCAATTCTCCCCCATCAGCTAGTTTGAAAGTGTTTAAACTTCTGCCAAATGATCTGGTTTTAGCTAGCATCAGCCTTGTGCCTTTCTGTATTTTCTCCTGCATCATAGGGGAGAAATCAGAATGACGTTTTCCTGAATCTCTTTCCAGCAGAATTTTAGGTCGAATCTGCTGATAAAAGAAACTTATGTGAGATTTGGAAGTTGGAAGAGGAGAAAGAATTTTCCTCTAGTGACAGCCCTGGGGGGTGGGGGAATGTGAGATCATCACTGATGGCTTCCTTTGGCTACTGGGGTCCTTTAGATGGCAGCCAAGGCTACCATGATGGCTTTCCTGTGCCACTGTATCTCCAGGTCTCCTACAGTGGACCTTTGTTCCCTCAGCTTTTGTATTCTTTCTAATTTTCTGTATTAAATATCTCTCCACTCAAAACAGTCACTCTTTCCTCCCTTAATAATCTTGAATTACACAGAAGTATAGGCACATAGGCTTTGGTCTTCCATATTAATTAATCTGAATTTTCATTACCACCAAGTTGTAGACCAACAGATGGCTTACAGGCATAAAAACACATATGGTATGGTTTCATTTTTATAATGTTTGAAAGTGAACTCATTTGTGATGTTAGAAGTAAGGATGATGTTTGTGTTTGGGGAAGATGGCAGTGACTGGATGTGCCATGAAGAAGACTTGGGGTGCTGGTAATGTTTGATTTCATCAAGGTGGTACTTAAATGGTTGAGTTCTTTTTCTAATAATTCTCTAAGCAAGATAATCATGTTATGAAATTTTCTTTATAGATGTTAAACTTCAATCAAAAGTTTACTTAAAAGTATTTTAGACTGGTAAGAAATTTCATTTTTTAGTATTAATCCCAAAATGACAAATTGGTAATTGAGTCTCATTTTACTTTTTGACAGATGATACAACTGAGGCAACAAGATATCCAGTAACTTGTTCACGTTCTTTTGTAAGCTAAGTTTTCTCTCCATTTATGATCTGATTTAATGTGAGAATTTTAAAGATGTTTTTCCTAAATATCTCTTTTCCCATTTTTCCTGATTTATAGTTAAATAAGATCAAGTTTACATGAAAATAGATAAGAAAAATTATTCTAAGATAATTTGTCATCTCAAGCATTACTTTAAAAATATCAGACTCTCTAGTGAAATAGTCTATGGGTAACATTGATAACGAATGTACCAACCTTGCCAAGGTATTTAGAATTTAGGAGTAGAAAGAAAAGAAGCTACTTCAACAATGTGCCATTGTGATTAAATGTGGCTTTAATTCAAACAAAAATTACATATTTTAAAATATCACCAAGAAAGGTAAAACAGAGTAACTAAACTTACTGTGGTTATCATTTTGTAATGGACAAAAAAAAGTGGAATCACTATCTTGTACACCACAAATTAATATATGTCAATTATGCTTAAATACAAAAATCACTAGAAGACAAAACCATAAAAAGAAGAGAGAATGGATAGTGCTAAAAAACACACTAAACTCACCCATTTGTCTATTTCCCACAGCTTCTGCTATGTAAGCCACCTAGATTTTCATCTCTTAGGGCAATTCCTAAGACTAATGGGCTTATTGAGTCAGTATCACTCTCCCCACTATTCTGTTGCCCTAATAATATGGGCTGACCTATAAATGCCCACCAAGTAAACCCTATATAGCAGGGAGTTTCACCAAAATAGGGTGACTTCTGGGACAGCTATAGATTTTACAGTTAATAAAGAAAGAGGTTCTTTCTGCAGAGTTTCCCCACATTCACAAGGGCCTAAATCTTAATAAATTCTAGGACATTCTGGGTCCCTTATAATACACATATGCTTTTGAAATCTTTTAACCCATCACCTTCAGAAATCAGCAATAGTGTGTGCTTTTGAGTTCTTTGGCTTTTTCTGATCTTGCTTCCAGCATAATTCAGAAAAAACTGCTTCTCACAACCTATTCATTCAACATGTATTTATTCAACTTCCACTATAGGCCTGGCAGTGGGCAAGGTGCTGAGGTCACATGATGAATAAGATGAAGTCTCTGTCCCCAAGAAGCTCATGATTGGTTTAAGAATAGTCATATAAAATAATAGTTTAGTTACAGGAATAAATTTTGGTGCTGATTAAAGCATATCAGTTAAGTCCTAATTATGAGTTTAAAAATTTTTGTCTTGATTGCTCTTTGCTGGTGACCTCCCAATATGAGGGTTACCACTATTTTGAGAATTCATCTAAATGTACTAACTAAATTTGAGCATATTTTGGGAAGATCCCAAGTTCAGGTGATGAGAAGAATATACACATAGAAAAATAGTCTGGGACTTTGGGCTTGAAATTAATACTGACTAGAAGTCCTAGGAGTAAGGAATTGTGTGGCAAGAAGCTCCTATAATAGGGACTTTCAAACTAAGTTTGAGAAGATTCTAAGAGAAATACTGATGCCTTGTTGGAAGAGAGGTCAAAGATAATGTGAAATAGGCTTAATTGTTACCTGTCCATTATCAGACAACACTTCAAGGCTAACAGCTCTGAGCATGGAAACTTAAGGGTAACTCTCTAGACTCAGTTTCTACATCTTCTCCAGGCATGGAAATTCTACTGCAGATTAAAAGATACCCACTTGTAGTTGTCAGGGAGTTAAATTAGCTGTCAAATGTGATCAAAGACTTGAACCAGAAAAGATTATCAGTCACTCAAGATACTTTTGACCTAATTTTTATTACCCATAGGTTTAAAAGAATCAGAAATTGGTTAAAAAAACCTGCTATAGGACTATCCTTCAGCTTTGATGAGAAGATCTCATAATCAATATCCAAAAGACTAGAAATCATAGGTAATGTGACCTCAACTGGATGATGGGAGTGGAGAGAACTGGGGTGAAGGGTGTCCACCTTGAGTAAAAGGGCAGCCCCTGCTTCATTGTGGCTAATCACTGTATATAGGAATGCAGGTCTAGTGCATTCAAAAGAACCTACTTTCAAGGGAAGCTAGATATATATATATATTTCTTTGGGTTTTTATAATTTTTAATTGTTGTCAATTAATTTAAAAACTATATATGGAATTTTAGGGGAAGAGGGGAAGGGTTTGAAGGAACTAGTATAAAGGACACATGGACAATAACAAGGTGGGGTGGAGATGGGAGGAAGGAGGGGAGGGCTGGGGTGCTGGGCTGGGATGGGGGTAAAGGGCAGAAAACTGGACTTGGACATTAAAATAAAAAAATAAAAAAATGAAAAAAAAACTATATATGGTAAAGGTCGTGTTTCCAGCTATGATTTGCAAGAATAAGAAAGCCCTCTGTTCCCCATGGTAAAACGAAAGAAAGAAAGAAAGAAAGAAAGAAAGAAAGAAAGAAAGAAAGAAAGAAAGAAAGAAAGGAAGGAAGGAAGGAAGGAAGGAAGGAAGGAAGGAAGGAAGGAAGGAAGGAAGGAAGGAAGGAAGGGAAAGAAAGAAAGAAAGAAAGAAAGAACCATATAAAATTTAAATCATACTTTTCTATGGGGCTAGCACATAGCAGAGGACACAAGGAAGTCTTGATGAACAATAATTCCTCCTTCAAACCTAAAGAAGAGGATGCTAAGTAGGGAAGAAATAACATAAAACCCAATGCCCTTGTGTTCATTAGATTCCAGGGCTCTGGCTGAGTTGAAACTGAAGGTGAACCAAAAATACCTACAATTGCAGTCGAACATTTTCTTATTTCAAATAGGGACAAGATAAAAAAGACAGTGGCAAGGAAGGTTGGGGCATGCTCAACATCAATTTTTATCAGAGAAATGGCAGTGGATGTGTTCACCTTCCTAAAAAAACCCACCAAAAACTACCAGGAATCTTTTCAGTTAAAAGTAACAGGGCACCTAGGGGTCACGTAGTGGACTTCGCTTCTATTGGTTAACAACCAAGTAGGGAAAATGGCATTTTCTTGTAATGGTCTCTTTAATAAATGGCAAAAGTTTTCTTCTGGCCATTAACACTGGGGATTAGTTTTTTTTTTCATTTTTTTTTTATCTTGCATGGATCTAGGATAAAAATAAGTTTGAAGTCCCCCTCCATGAAAACAAGTTTACCATATGTCAATCCTTTCAGGAAAACACTGAGATTTAAATTGCACCTTAATATTTTTCTTCCCTCTTCCAAACAGTGTAGATCAAAGATTTTTGTGGGAATGAAAATCTGAAATCTGGGGGTGGAAGATGGGGAGACGTTTCAATTTCACAGGGTCTGACAGATAGCAATTGGCATACTAACCCACTTTGCAGTGTTTCTTCCTATTCACTGAGGTCAAACTAGAGAAAAAGTTTTATTTCTCTTAACATTTACCCTGACCACTTTTATGTGCTTGTCATTTATTCAGCTTGTGCTAAAAGTCTGAACCCAAAGAATAGATTTTATTTGTGTGCTGTTGATTGAAAAGGAAAAGTGTACCAAGTGCCATAGACACTTTATTCTAAAGAGATTAATCACATTCTTTATTGGCTAAGGAAATAAAAAAAAAGAAATATGTAAAATGCATTTTTTCTAAGCTGACTTCATGAGCACAACCACAAACGTGTGCTGAGCTAAGGTTAGCATCCTCCAGGTTACAACAGGAGGCCTAGAGCATTCCCTATTTACTCCTGTGAGTGCATAAGGATGCAAGGAATGGCTGGCAAATTGCCATATGTTCTCTTCTCTGATACTAGCCTGGCTGGTGTGCTGAGGCCCTGGGGAAGTGCTGTTACAAGTACTGAAGTCTAGCCTTGTACAGCCTGTCAGGCTAATAGATAGGAATGCATCTCAAAAGTCTGTCAACCCTGCCTTTCCAAAGCCTGCCTTCAAGTGAAAGACAGGCCAGGCTGACTCAACAAAAAGCTGGGCATCTCCCAGTGGAGACAGCTGCTGGGGGAAGTGAAGGAAGACAGTGGGGAAAGTAATGCTGGTTTTACCTGTTTGTCTTGTTAGGTCTGATTTCTGTGAACAGTCAAGGCCATCATTCTTGGTGTCATCTTAATTACTTTCTGTGCAAAGAAAAAAAAGGCAGAGAGTGGCGACAATTTATTTGCATTGCCAATCAATTATTTTTTTTCTTTTTAGGAATTTTTCTGACTTGCAAAACATATTATATAACCACTTGTTTTCCCCTAAAGATGAATTCTGATAGATTTACTCATTTCTGTCTCCTCAAAAGATGTACTAACATTGCCAGTATTGGGAAGCTGTGTATGTGAGGGAGACTGGAGAGAGAGGAGCAGACATTTGGTGGTTTTTGTTTTTCATACAGGTAAGTGTATGTTTCTTCTCTTAAGGAAACCCTTGAAGTTTTCCTTGCTTTCTGGTCTCCAAACGCCAGTGGCCATTCTCACTTAATACCAGATGCTATGTAGAAATCAGAGCTTAAACTTATCTTACTCAGGCGTTTAGAAGGGAAAGAAAACCTTTTCTCAAGGTGATAATAAGGAATTCATACGCGTGCGCGCGCGCACGCACACACACACACACACACACACACACACACACAAACTTTGAAGGAGGAGATCTGGGTTCTTTACTGATTTAGCACCATCTTTAGAAGGCACATTACCTATCCACTCAGCTTTAATTTTCTTCTTAGAAAATGAAAAGATAGGGCATCCTCCCTCTTTTTGAAAAAACCAAGGCAAGAACAAATGGACATATTCCTTTTCTACTTCTCAATTTCTGTTTTGCTTATTCATCACTGTATACTAAAGGACCAGTATTCTTACCTCCTTCATCCATTTATTCATTAGTTTCAGCTAATGTCTGAATAGGCAAAGTGTCTGCAAAGATGCAGTTGGGGGAAGTGGGCATGCCCAGTGAGGTCTTGGCTTACAGTGTTTTGGCTTGAAGTCCATCTTTGGAGTAAGCTGTGTCTGAAGTTAGGAGAGGAAGATGCTTGTTTGGGAAATTATATAAGTGGCTTATAACACTTCTCTAAAGTCCTCTCTCAGTCCCTTCCTCCTTTAGTTTTGGCCCTGAGGACACTGGGCTCTCCCATTTTCTACACATGCTTGAACCAATGAACTCCCAAACCAGACTGGATAGCAAAGGAGTTGGGTAGTATCACAGGGCTAGTCTGGGAGTGCCCTTCCAGCCTACACTCCTAGAGACCCCTGCCTCCCCTCCCCAGCCGCAATAAAACCTAGCATGCTATCCTGTGCAGAGTAAGGACTAAATAGTATTTATTGAATCAATGAGGCAGTAGATGAAAAGTGAATTAACCTGTTTATTATGCCTCTGCTCTGCTGCTTTTTGTCTCGTGAAGATGAGCCAGGAGTAAATACTTTGCTGACAGATGAAAACCAGCAGGCATTTTTTTTTCATACCCTAGAGCACAAGCAAGGGGATTTGAGGCAAAGCCCCTGAGCTCCCTGGGCCACTGATAATGATGAGGGTTAGAGGTAAGGTCAGTGGACCAGAATCCTTAAAAAAAGAGTCTTCTGGGAATCCCAGGGCTCTCTGTTTCACTAACTCCTTAACAGCAGGATTAGTGAGGAAGTAGACAGAGATCAAATGAGAAAAAATTCTCAGTTCCACTCAGCACTTGGTGATATGGTTTATGGAAGAGGTTTCTTTACATAACGAATGATAAAGAAGGGTTGACACTGTGCATTTGGAAAATTCTGCAGGCTCACCCTGAAAAGTGGATATGTGCTCTGGCTGTAGAGTTAGCCATGCCAGGGTGGAGTGGAAGTTTCATTCCCAGAAATACAAATCTCAGCTTTATAATAGCATGCAGTGTCCCTCTGATGTCTAACCTTTGGAAGCTATAGTGTGGGTCTTTTCTGACCTGCTTTGTTTAAAAAAAATTTAATCTATATTGTATTTTTTCCATTACCATTTAGCCCCCTTATACCCACTGCCTCCCAAGAATAGGAGCCTTCAGGAATTGATTTCTGTAGTAGCTCCTTTCTTACTTACAAACTTCCATGGACACAAAGTCACTTCTGTGGTTCCTGTAAGATAGATGAACGATATTACAATTAGTGACTTGTTGTTCTTCAGAAGTTAGCAATGGCAATGAGGACATACTATCCGTTGTTTTATCATTTGAGTCAGGAGAGTCATCTATAATATGCTTCATTAAATGTAACCGATGAGCAATTATTCTTTCAAGGATATATTTCCTTTCAACTCCCTAGAGAGGCCGTGGGAAAGTCTATCTGTTTGGACTTTCATCACTTCCAAATTGTTTTGTACTCACAGCATCTCATCTTCTTGTGCTGTGTTATTCTGAGATTTGTTTCTGCTCCTAGCATACCCTTTTCTCACTGAAACTGCCATTTCATTCCTCTAAATTTTAACATTTAAAATGTGTCTTAAAACTTCCAGCCCCCTTGAAGCCTTTCATAAAATGCTTCTCTAAATCTGAACTTCACTTTGGTTGCCTCAGCCAGAGCTTGTTTGAAACCATAATAAGTTCTATGTGTAACCTCTGTTTCTTATGTGCATGGTGTCATGTCTTCTCAGACTTTGTGTCTGTTCCAGGTAGGCAAGAAAGGTCTTTGATTTGGGTATGCTCCTGAGAAACGTGTTCTGCATACGGTGGATGATGTTAACAAAGTTGAACTGTCCACGATATGGGGGGTCAGCTCTAACTTGGCAGAGAGGAAATGAGACATGAAGGCCTCAAAGCTGGCTAAAAAAAAAGGGCACAGAGTTGCCCAAATGGACTGTATGCCACTTAAAGGTTCCTGTTCAAATGTCATAGAGAACAGGGGTAACAGTCCACTGACATCACCATCTGATGGATACTTAGCTATTTCCTGCTTTAGACTCCCAGTCCAGCTCCTGGAAGACATATGCCCTGCAGACTTCACATTCCAGTTAGAGTTGAAGTACATCTTTTTAAAAAATGCAGTTTCCAGAAACATAACCTAACTAAATAAAATCTAGTACTGAAGACAAGAAGAAAGACCAGTCTTTCAACACTTAGTTCAGTTGGTTCATTGAAGACTGATTGGAGAAATGAGAAGCAGTTGAGTTTTGGAAATTAATTATGGTATCATTATGTCAAATGATGTAATAAATGCTTTAAATGTAGGATTAGATGGATGTCATCTGGGACTAGGAGCTGAGAGGCAGCATGGGATAAAATAAGGAAAACAAAAGCAAAATGTTCCTTCGTCAGTCATTTAATCAGGACTCCCGGACAAAGGATAACCTTGTGCTCTAAGTGTTCAGGGTTATTGGGTCAAAGATGCATTCTACATTCTCATGGACACCTGGGCATAATCTGACCCAGGTGTAATCCAATCTGTGAATAAAAACAGTACTTTATTATAGGATTTAATTGCACTTTCTGAAATTTTCCCCCATTCCAGTTGTGGGATTTAATTAATTCTTACCCAGAAGTCAGTTACTTCGGGGTAATGCCATAGAAAGGGAAAGAACTATCTTAATGTGGTTTAGAGTTAGATGCAGCCTGTTTCCATTTTACTGTTATTGTCAATTGTTTAAAGAACTTTTCTGAATGAGTTCATTGTACGTGTGCCTTGAAACTTTCTAGAGCAAGTTGAAATACATTTTAGAAGAAATCACAGGATTACTAAAATAACATTAAACACTGTGAGTCCAGTTTCTGAAGGACATGGTAGTACGCATATTTATTTATATTTCATTGCCTTATGTAATTATTCACACTCCATATTTTGAGGATAAAATTTATGACACTTTGTCTCCAACTAATCATCTCACTCCCTCCTTAGCCCTTTTCTTCTGTTCTTTCTTTTTTATGAAGCAATTCTGCCTTCTGGCAATAGCTCACAGGGGAATTTTAGAATCAGAGGCTGAGTGATCTAGATGAAAACATGAGGATTCCTCCTTCATGTGCTTTCCTTTCAATAGATGTAATTTTTTTCCCCAGCAAGGAAAACCTTTTGAACAAAAAGAGTGAGTTTGCCCTCACCAGAGATGGTAAATGATTCAATTCCAGGTTTCTTCCTACTGCTCTTTTATTGTCTGTTTCTTACCTGGTTCTGTCCCCATGCTCCCTGCAGTGTTAGATGTTGGACTGGAACCTCTGTTAATTGCCACTGAGCAAGGTTAGCAAGGGGACAAAGTGAATAACAGCTCCCTGTGGACATCTGCTTGGGGTTCTAACCCACCACAATTCCAAGGGGCTGGAGTAACAAATTTGAGGGGATTTGCCTGAATAAGTTGCCTGGTAGCCTATTTTGTATCAAACATTCTGAAGTATTAAATATGAAACTTGGAGAAAAGGACATTTCAAATAAAGCCTACCTTCAATCACTTCATAAATATATATATTTTTTTCTAATTCATCTTGATTTTTAATCTCTCTCCTATACTAATTGCTATGTTATTACATTTTATGTCATAACACAGTGGAAAAGACACTTTTTTTTCAAGGTTTTCACAATAGTGAGGGAGACAGTTAAGTAACAGAACCACTCTGGGGTAATATGGAATCAGATGTTTAGGCTGCTGCATAAAGAACTTTTCATATGGGTTTCAAGGAGAGGAAACAAGTAGAATAAAAGCAGGGCCCATTGACAGGTCAGATATTCAGCTGGCTCCTATGGTGCAAATGTACCAATATGTAAACTACTGAAGTGGTTCTGTTTGATTGCTGCTCTGATGCCCTGGCTGCTGGGGCCCCATTCCTGGGATCTCTAGCTCCTGTTCCAACACTCTCACCCACATCCATTCTAATTGGTCAGACCTCACCATTTTCTTTATTAAATACCTCAAATATCTCTCCTGCCTGTTTTTGTAACAGCAGGTAAAAGCTTGGGATTGACAATGATGGTGAGGGAGTAGAACCCTTCTTGACCAGGGCTTCACTCAGCTCTTCCCAATTTGGTTACTGTGGAGTTCATACCCTATGATCACAGAAAATCCATGTTGTATCCTTTTTCCTTAAAATATTTCTTGTGCTCAAAACTTTCCATTGTTCTGCTATTTTCAATGTCTCTGTGTTTCTTATTTCTTGTCCATCCAAGACTCTGCTCCAGGCTTCAAATCCTTGGATGCATAATCAACAAAGGTACAGTAGCAACCCCCCCATCCCCTCACTTACTTGTGGTTTCTTCATTTTTCACATTTTAGTTACTTGCAGTCAACCTCAGTCTGAAAATGTTAAACAGGCAATTCTAGAAATAAACAATTCATAAGTTTTAAACTGAGTGCTGTTGTAAATACCATGATGAAATCTGGCACCTTCCCACTCTTTCACCAGGGATGTGACTCATCCCCTTGTCCATCTCATCCATGCTGTGTGAGGTCCTCAGCAGCCAGTTGCTTAGCTGACTATGTTATCAGAACAACTGTCATAATATCACAGTGCTTGTGTTCAAGTAACCCTTATAATGGCCGCAAAACCATTCACATAGCTTGTATCACAGTATATTATTTTAATTGTTCTATTTTATTATTGGTTGTTGTTGTTAGTCTCCTAGTGTGCCTGATTTGGAAATTAAACTCTATCATAGATCTGTATGCAGAGGAAAAAGATATAGTATATGCAAGGTTGGTAATTGTTGCGCATGGGTCACCGGCCAGCAGTGACCATGGAACGCTGTGGATGGCTCGATGATAAACACGCGAGAAAAAATGACACATGTACAGAGACAAACTAGTTTCTGTGGGGAAGTAGGGACGAAATGGCCACCCCCCCTAGTGGGGAGCGTGCCAATTTACAGTCCATACCTGCTTTTATTGGGCTCATTTTGCATAATAATTCAGGTAAAGTACAGTACTCATTAGGCAGTAAGACTTTGAGGAACAAACTAACTTCCTCCTTGGACCCCTCTCATTCAACTGAGAGCATTCTAAACAAAGAAGGTTTCACAGTAATTTACATGTTCTTTCTTAGGCCTGATCACCCCAGGGAATCCGCACTTCTCAGTACAGAGCTGCACCACCCTGTCATTGTTTCAGGCTTAGGTGGAGCAAGGGAACTAAGGCAACTGAGAGACAAGGAGGTTTTCTCCCAGACGCTGAGAACTTAGGCTATGTCAAAGCTGAGGAGCGAGGGTCCATCACCCCCTTTTGCTGCAGCCCCCCAAGTCCTTCTTTTGGGGGGCCTCCCAAAGTGATCGTGCCTGTCTTAGGTCATTACCTCCGTGGGGAATCTTACCCATCTTTGGCTAACCGACCAAGCTTTTGGGGGTTCAGTCATGAATAAAGCAGCAGAAGCAGCATTCCTGCCAGGGAGATAAGCTTTTGTCTCCTTGCTGGCTTACAGTTCCAAGGGCGTTCCCTTAGCCTTAGCCTAGGCGGGGGTTTCAGCTTCTGATACCAGTCAGGGCAGTTCCCAACAGGTAATTAGGTTTCAGGCATCCACTGAGTCTTGGACTGTAGTCCACTCAGTTGAGGAAAGACTACCATAGTGAAGTAATTGAGGCTCACAGATTTAACTCATGACTTTAATTATGTATTTAGGAGGACAGCACTCGCCTATAGATACCCCCAGTCTTCCAAAAAGGAGAATTTTTTCTGATTACATGTCTTGCTCCCCTAATTGTCATTCCTTCACTGTCTTCTCTGCCAAGACTGGACTCTTGACATCAAGTAAATCCAGAGACCTCACTGGAATCATTAAAACAGTTACTATTGACTTGATGGTCTCACTATTGTCTGCTAAAATTTAACCAGTAAGTTCCAATGACAGCTGGAGAACATAGCAGAGAAAAGGTTTCCATTATCAGAGGCCTCAGTGATATGTGCTCATTATTAAAGTTCAGAGGGGCTGGAAACTCAAATAGGTTGAGTCCTGGTGAAGTCAAACATCAGCTGACTCTCAGCACATTGTCAATACTGTGGGCCTGCCAAGTTTCTCGTACTAAATGCTGCTGTTTTTCTCAAAGCAGTGTATGCGCTCAATGGAGGGAGAAGGAACAAGGTGAATACCAATTTGGGTACAAAAATTTCAAAAAGATATAGATAGGATAGGAGCTCAATTTGCAACATCCTTGAGACCTAGGAACTAATTACTCAGATACATTTTTTGTGGTGTAGCCATTGTTTTGTTTTGTTTGTTTTTGCCTAGCAGAAAATACAGGTAAAGGCAGGGCATGCTCACTCACAGTTTGTTTTTGTGCCTTATTTAGAGACGTGGGCTTGACTTATGCAATCCCCAGAGACCTAGACTGGTTGAGTATAATATTCACTAGGTAAAGCTCTAGGTGTCTTGCAGGCTGGACCAGTTCCCTTGGCCCCTCAGCTGACCCTGGGGCTTCTGGAATTAGTTGTGCTGCTCATTATTTCCCTCTGGCTTGTCTCTACCCCTGCCCTCTTCTGAAGCAAGAACGCAGGACTAGTACTGCTATCCTCCGGCCTGTTGGCACCCTCTCATTTCTCAGAGTATTTTATGCTTGGCAAAAGCAAACACAACAAAATAAAACAATTGCAACACCAAAATTCAAGGAAGCACAAGATAAAATAATGTATGTGGTATTCAGTCCCTAGGTCTCAAGGATATTGCAAATTGAGCTCCTAGTCTATTTTCATCTTATTTTTGAAGCTTTTGTGCTCAAATATGTACTCTTCTTGTTCTGATTCCTCTTTAAGGTTGGAAGTTAAGCTCTCAGCTCTGAGTAGTAGCTGTTCTGGAGATATTTTTCCTGCATTATCTTTCTTTCTTTCTTTCTTTCTTTCTTTCTTTCTTTCTTTCTTTCTTTCTTTCCTTCCTTCCTTCCTTCCTTCCTTCCTTCCTTCCTTCCTTCCATCTATCTATCATGTATCTCTTTTTATTGTTTGTTTGGCTTCAGAATTATCTCATAGTTCTCTTATTCAGCACTACACCTTGTTCTATTTGTGCTGTACCTGGTGCTTACTACAAATAAATAACTTTATAAACAACACTTTTTATAATAGTAGGATCATATGTTCCCCTTTATTTGCAATTGAAGCTAAAAGTAGCACCTAATATATTAAATATTTATAGCAGAATAGCATGTTTTCACATCATTTTGTCAAAATTACTCTCCATGAATGAGGTCATCAAGGTAGGTTTTTGATGTACATCCTGGACTTCCAGTCAAGATGGAGGCATAGGTAGATACACTTCGCCTCCTGGAACAACCAAAAGAAGGATAACGATAAATTTAAAAATAAAGGTAACCAGAACTCCCAGAAAACTAAACTGTATGGAAGTCAGACAACAAAGGGGTTAAGAAACATTCATCCAAACTCATAGGAGGGGTAGAGATGGGGAGCTGGGGTGGAGAGGACTCCTGGCTATGTGGTGGCTGGTGGAGCAAATGGTTCCATATTTGTATGCAGACAAACTGGGAGGAAAAACTGGGCAGTGAGACAGATAGCACAACCCAGAGTTCCAGTGTGAGGAAATAAAGCCTCAAAACCTCTGACTGAAAAAACCTGTGGGGGTTGAGGGGGCAGGAGAAACTCCCAGCCTCAAAGGAGACTTTGTTGGAGGGACCCACACAGTCCTAGAAATTACAGAAACCCACCCACCTGGGAATCAGCACCAGAAGGGACCAATTTGCTTTTGTGTAGGAGAGGAAGTGACTAAAACCCAGCACAGAGCTAAGCAAGTGGCATTGTTCCCTTTCAGACCCCTCTCCCACATACAGTGCCACAACTCAGCAAAGTGGGTTGCTCTGGCAAATACCTAAGGTTCTGCCCCTTACTACTAACAGGCATACTGAGACAAAAAAAATATGGCCCAAATGAAAGAACAGATCAAAGCTCCAGAGAAAATACAACTAAGCAACAAAGAGATAGCCAACATATCAGATGCACAGTTTAAAACACTGGTAATTAGGATGCTCACAGAAATGGTTGAGTATGGTTGCAAAATAGAGGAAAAAGTGAAGGCTATGAAAGGTGAAATAAAGGAAAATGTACAGGGAACCAACAGTGAAAGGAAGGAAACCAGGACTCAAATCAACAATCTGGAGCAGAAGGAAGAAATAAATATTCAACCAGAGCAGAATAACAAAACAAGAATTCAAAAAAATGAGGAGAGGCTTAGGAACCTCCAGGACAACTTTAAACATTCCAACACCTGAATCATAAGGATGCCAGAGGGAGAAGAGGAAGGGTAAGAAATTGAAAACTTATTTGAAAACATAATGAGAGACAACTTCCATAATCTGGCCAAGGAAACTGACTTCCAGGAAGTCTAGGAAGCTCAAGAGAATCCCAAAGAAGTTGGACCCAGGGAAGCACACACCAAGGCACATCATAATTGCATTACCCAAGATTAAAGATAAGGAGAGAATCTTAAAAGCAGCAAGAGAAAAGGAGACAGTTACCCACAAAGGAGTTCCCATCAGTGTCAGTTGATTTCTCAAAAGAAATCTTATAGGCAAGAAGTGAATGGAAAGAAGAAATCAAAGTCATAAAAGGCAAGCACCTACATCCGAAATTACTCTTTTCAGCAAAGCTATCCTTTAGAATGCAAGAGCAGATAAAGTGCTTCTCAGGTAAGGTCAAGGTAAAGGAGTTCATCAACACCAAGCCTTTATTACACAAAATGTTAAAGGAATTAATCTAAGAAAAAGAAGACAAAAAATGCTAATAGTAAAAGGATAACAAACTCATAACTAACAACAATCGAGCCTAAAAAGTCAAAAACAAAAACTAACTAAGCAAACAACTGGAACAGGAACAGATTTACAGAAATAGAGATGACAAGGAGGGGTATTAGTGGGGAGAAGAACGAGGGAGAATGGAGGAAAAGGTACAGGGAATAAGAAGCATAAATGGTAGGTAGAAAATAGACAGGGGGAGGGTTAAGAATAGTATGGGAAATGGAGAAGCCAAAGAACTTATATGTACGACCCATGGACATGAACAAAAAGTGAGGGAATGATGGGGGTTGGTGCAGGTCAGAGGGGAATAAAAGGGAGAAAAAAATGAGACAACTATAATAGCATAATCAATAAAGTATATATTTTAAAAAGAGGTAGGTTTTTATAGACCATCTATTTGTTGTTGCTGTTTCTTTGAAGCATTTTTCTTGGTGCTTAGATATTAAAACACTTTATTTAATAATTTGAACTCTTCTAAGATATTTAAACAGCTTTGGTTCTGGAATTTTTCCCTTAATTTTTATTGAGGTATAATTGATATATTAGTTTCAGATGTACAATATAGTGATTTGATATTTGTTTACATTGTAAAATTGATCACCACATAAATCTAGTTAACATTCATCACCTTATGTAGTTACCAAATTTTTTCTTGTGTTAGGAACTTTTAAGATCTGCTCTTTTAGAACTTTCATATACACAATACAGTATCGTTGACTGCAGTCACCATGCTGTACAGTACATCCTCAGGACTTATTTTATAACTGGAAGTTTGTCCCTTCTGATCCCCTTTTCCCATTTCACCTATAATCTATATTTTTATAATTCCAAACTGACTGGTTCTAAACTGACTGCTTCATCTATGCCCAGGTGTCTCTCTGCCTGACACTTAATCCTGTATTTTACATCTTGGCTAATAATGTTTTCATATAGTCTGCACCAAAACTAAAAATTTCAGCATTTTTGTCAACTACTACCTTTTTTTTTAACCACCACATTCCATTTGTGCCAGTCCAGCAGATTTTACTTTTTAAAATGTCTCCATGTGTTTCCCTCTTTTCCAGGTCCAGTGATCCTGCCTCAGCCCAGGCCCTCATCACCTTTCACCTGGGTGGGAGGAGCACCTCCTGATGGCACCTTTCCCATCAACCTCCCCACTCCTCCCTGCCTCTGTTGTATTCATGTATCATTATTTTGTGCTTACTTCCTACTATTTTCTGTGCCCACAAACTACTTTTCAGCTGAGAGCACTCCAGCTGAAAATTGCTTCAAATCCTTTTTGGAACACGGTAAAATATGAAAACAAAATAAAATCAAGAACAAAATTCTACTCAGTTTTCAGAATCAGGCTTCAACCTAGCCTTCTCAGAGCCTGTCCTGATGCTCAAGACAGGGCCTGCGATGTCCTCCTGGCACCCCTGCAGGACTGTCTGCCACAGTCTGCTTCTCTCACGGGGTTGGAAGTCTGTTCATTCTGGGAGACAGATTTCAGATCTTAGCCATTTTCTAGTTATTATTTAACAGGTCCATGTCAGGAAGTTCCTGCTGGGTCCAGAATGGTTTCTGTTTGACTAGCAGCCCCTGCTCTGGTCTCCAGAGACTCAGTCTGGCCTCTTAGTGCTTGGAAGAGAGAGGCATTTTCCCAGGTGAGCCATGAGTTCTTCATCATGGCCTTCAAGCTATGCACTCTTTGTTGCCATCTTCTTTTTCTGGAAATTAACAAGTTACCTGACTAAAATACCCTTATTTTCTCCAAAATCTGGGCTGTGTCTGATATGACTGTAGGTTCTTGCTGTCTATCTGGTGACAAAATCTGAAAACTTTCTGGGTGACCTTGTCAGAAATGAAAATTTTTATGTCTTGCCCCACAATATTGTGGTTAATACCCTGTCAAACTGAAATTAATTAAAATTAATTGATATCTCCACCCTACTCAAATCTGGGGTAGAAAAAGAGCATCCTTCACTTCACCAGAGAACCCACATCATTAGCTTTGCTCTGACTGGCACTCTTCACACCAGACTAATTCAGATAGCCAGAGTAAATTGTGGGGAAAAACCATCCAAACTTTGGATTTGTCTGCATGACTCAAAACAGAAGACTTAATATCTCTAACCCAATTGACAGAATTTCATCTGGCTTTGTGTAAGCATGGTAATGAAGTTATAACTCTTGGGCTGCTAAACACTGAAGAAGAAATACAACCAAGGAGAATCATGGTTCAAGAAGTTACAACACTTTTCTAGTAGTTGCAAACATAGCTGGAATCAGCATGCCAGGCCACACAATTTAGAGGCCTTATGACATTATATTTGACATGTTGGAGCTACTCTATAATCTACAGCAACATTTGTTGAAGTGATTGCAAGGGTCATAAGAGATGCTTGCAAAAAGTATGGATTCTCAGACCCTCCCTTAGAGATTCTAATTCAGTAGTTCTGGTGGGACTTCGTATAAAATATAAAAATTGGTGTTTTTAATAAATTCCCCAAGTGATTCTTTTTACTAAGCAAGCTAGGGGAACAGTGTTCCAAAGGAAGAAATCAAATCCTGTGTGGTAGAAAGAATAAGAAGACACCAAGACCCAGGTAGGAATTTAGCACAGATACTGATTAATGGGGTCCAGAACACTCAGGAGGCTCCAACTTATTGGCAATGTCCCTTCCTCCACTCACACACTAATTTTAGTCCAGTTTGGTCTAATAATTTTAATAGTCTCCTTAGGTTTAAAGAATTGCTTTGGAATAATTACTCAGGCTTTCTGATTTTTTTCCTTTTCTTGGCACTTACTCAAGGAAGGTGTTTGGGTAATGAATGAGAGGCTCACAGAACCTCAGGGCATGGGAGAAAGGGTCTCTTGGCTTACTGTGGACCTGCTTCATTGTTGAGGTCTGTGGCTGATGATATTGTGATTTTTCTTTCTTGACTTGTTCTGGGCCAGGGCCTGTCCCTGACTGCCCTATTTCTCTTGGCTTTCTCTGACATGTAAATTGCTCTGAGTCTCTTCACAGCTGCCATGTGGTTCCTGGCCCAGACTGCATACTCTATAGCTTCTCCAGGATCATCTGTTTTGTCCTGTACTTGCCCTATCAGGTCAAGGTCCAAAGTTCTCAACCTACTATCAGTGCTACACAGAAGCAGGATGAGGTTTAGGAACAGCATCAAAACCCTTTTTCTGCCTGACCATACTCTCTATCCTCCTCATGATGCTAGGCCTCAGACTGGAGAGAACAGGGAGTGAGCAGATGCCCTTCTGCCCCTGGTGTCCTTTCCACCTATCCAGGGTGCCTGGCTCTGCACCAAATTCTCAGAATGGGAATATCAGGTTATGACTTCTCACTTTCTCCTTCTTATCTGCTTCCCTGCACCCTTTCTACCCCTACAATCTCTCAGAGAAGCAAGAGGATGGATTTTCTGTAACATCTTCCCCTTGCCTTCCTAAGCTTTTCCTTACACAAAAAGATGATATTTCTCCTCCTGGTTAGCTTCTTAATTAAATGGGGTGAAATTAATCAGGAAATCTTTTCTCTTTGATAATGCCAACTTCTCCAGCTGACTGTCTTGTAGCAAAATCTTATCTGGGATTACAGAGTTGGGTGGGGGCACTGCTGTCAACTTACCCACAATTCCCCTAGAAGTCCCAGGTTCCCCTTTCCCACCTGACCCTTCTTACCAGCCCTGCCTCTGCCCCTGGCAACCTAGTCTGGCCTAAAGAGGGGAGACAGTCATAGAGTCATAAAAATCTAGTAACAGGTTTAAAATATTATCTGATTATCCCAATAGAGTAAAAAACAGAGGTTTTTCTTTTCAGTTTGTCATCTCAAACAGGCAACTTTTTGTTCCTATAATCTTCCTTTGATACAAGTTTCTGAAACACTTTGATATTCCTCTTTTTCCCCAACAAAAATGCTTCAAATGTGAGATTACAATAAAGTTGATTTAAGTTTTCTTCAACAGGGGTGGAGCAGTGAAAGAACATTAAATTTGATAACTTAGATGTAAATCCATGTCCTTCAAGCCTGGGGTTTTGTTATGTGATGTCTAATATGTGATAACACAATGAACTTTATTGGGCAGTTATGAGAATTAATTAAAGTGCTTGTGTGGATGTTCTTTGAAAAATTAGGTCATGTTGTTGATAATTTTTTAAATCTTATTAAAAAATTAGGTTCTAGTATATGCAAGGTTGTAAACTTTTGATTCCGTGGGTACAAGTAAGGAGAATTTCTGGGAGTCACCCTAACTCTTTATCGACTGCTTTTTATCAGCTCCAAAAACGCAGGCATCCTCAGGACCCTAGTGTTTGTCTTCAGGCGCCTGGAACACCCTCACTGGGGAGGCCCCAGTCTCTGGACTCTTCTTAACCTCATCTTTCAAATCTTACTTACCTCTGTATATCACTTCTTGGCTGAAAATAGGTTCATCTGATACATCAGCTATTTTAGCAACCTTTTGATTACAGATGACAGAAACCTTATTTAAATGAGCTTTAGCCAAAGGACGGGAATTACTAGCTCATGTAGTCTGCTCCCACCCCCAGTACTTAATGGATATCTCCACATCTCTGCTCTGCTTCCCTCTGTCAGATTCACTCCAGGTTAGACAGTCCCCTTTGTGGTGCCCAATGAGCTCCAGACCTACACTGCCTATGCTTGCAACCCCAGTTCAAAGAGAGTTCACCATTCCCAGTAGCTACAAAGAAAGTCTAAATTTTCCTGATTTGTGGTTCCTACCCAAATCTAACCAATTACTGTATCCAGGAAAAACAGAATTGAGTGCAACTCCTTAGTTACCTACCTGGGAGCAGCAGCAAATGTGAACACTGCCAGGGGGTTCTGAAAGGAAAATCAAGGTGCTGTTACCACAAGAGGGGAAGGAACATCACACGAGCAAAAGTTACAGATACCACCACACTGGCTAAAATATGAAGGAATCTGGGCCAATGTATTGCCTTTTCCAGAACATTCAGCATCTGAATCCCATGAAAGTGTGTGGGTCATCTCCATAGGCAATTTCTTCCCCATTGGAGGCAGGTGAAACCGTTTAAGGTCCATGAGCCCCAGGTTTCTCAGGTGTCCAGGTAGAAAGACTTTGCAGATGAGAGTGGAAGGTATTTGAAGCCAAGTGAGGTGAAAAAGAAAAGTTTTCCTTTCCAGAAGATAATTGTTGTTATTTATTATACCTTCTTATTCATCTTTATGTTTTGCTACTAGTAGATGCTTGGTAAATGACTAGAGCTCATAACATATTTGTCAAGTGAAAGGATAAATAAGTGAATATGTCTTTATTGTGAAACCCAATTGCCCAATGTCTTTAAAGCCTGAGTATGAAAACAAGCATATATCTCTTCCTCTGAATTCTACTAATCAGACAGTCATTGAGTCCAAATTTATGGAGAGGAGACATATACCTGTCTTTTCATAGGAGGAGTGTGAAAGAGTTTTATGGCCATGTTAACAACTGCCACAGTAATCTCAAACTTGACCTCGCACATATAAATGAGTTTCACAGATACACTGAATTGTAATATTCTCAATTTTGTAAGACTATCAGAACTAGTTCAGTCTCTTAGAATGAGACATCTCCCTTTGATTCAAGAAATCTAGTTCCAATTCTTTAAAGAAATTGTTCCCAAGATGCATAAATTCCCCTTGAGACCTATGCTGACTAACTCCCATAGGTCAAGATGCCCTGATCACAACTCTCAGGTGGAATTTGGTTTATGGCTTTAATACCCTGCACTACAGCTAAGAATGTGAGAGCTGAGCTTGCTAAAAGACTTGTCAGAAAAATGATGCTTGCTTTTCTTATGTGAGAAACAACCCCAAACTTGGAACTCTTCACTTCTTGCCATAACATTGTCCAAAACAATTCATATGTGAATTCTTTATGGCGTGCCTTTGCTTGAGTTACTTATGGGTGTGGCTGGTTAGGCCCAAAGTCCACATATACAGCTTCCTGAGAAGACAGTAGGGCTATTCTGTGTGTCCCAAGGAAGCACAACTCTTTTTGTAAGATTGGATCTTCTCTCAGGAAAAGACTTCAGAGATTACACAATCTATGGCTAGGGAATAATGCCAAAGTTGGGAGTACCACACATTCATCAGAATGGGACATGGGGATGCAAGAGAATTAGAGCAAATTTCTTTGTAACAATCAGAAAAGTTGAATATGGGGACCCTTTTGGGGACCCAGTGTGATCTAACAGAAAGAAATTTACTGATTTTAGTACTCTTCTTGCTGTTTCTACTGCTCAGATTACTTCTGGGGACTTCTTTACAAAGTGGCAGAAAGCAGGTCTCGTCACTCTGTTTGGTTATCACATGGCATCTAGTCCCTGGAAATACTGTGGTCCTACTGGGGGGCTGGAATGTGGACAAAGGGCAGTGGGGATATTGTCACTGGCCTTTGTTCACTACATGTTTTATATGACCTGGGAGAGTAAAATCTTAGAGACTTGTTATCCAAAATGGAAGCATTCATTTGTCAAAGATGTATATGTTGTTTTGAACATCAAGTAGAGAAGTTTTCTAATGTAAATACACAGAAACATTCTTAATATGTGCAAAATACCATTCCTCAAATTTGGCCAAGATCACATAATGCAGATTTTAATTCCCTGCCTATCCTTTTCTCATGATTTGAGATTACTTCCTTGGGATGTTTTCTTCTTTGAGCACAAATTTGTGCCATTGTTAGTAGAAAAAATCTGTTTGCTTCCTATGCGATGGTGAAGGAATGTCAGACCCCCTGAAAAGATGGAACACAACTTTGTTATACTTTCCTTTCAGAAACACAGCTAATTTGTCAAAGAAACTAAAAAGAAATCCAGGTTGAGACTACTGTTAGTTTTTCATTAATAATTCTGAAAAACCAATAATTATATGTAACTGATTCTTTAAGTCAAACCAAATTTATTCAAAAACAAGAAGAAAATATTCATACTGCCTTTGAAACATTGTCCCTGTAGTTTCAAACTTGAATGTACTTTTAATCTACCTCCAAAGAATGCTCATGTAAATAGATTTGTTGTGTATCCTTTTAATCTTACATGTTTCTTGTGACAATGCATACACTGAATTGTAATATTCTCAATTTTGTAAGACTATCAGAACTAGTTCAGTCTCTTAGAATGAGACATCTCCCTTTGATTCAAGAAATCTAGTTCCAATTCTTTAAAGAAATAGTTCCTAAGATGCATAAATTCCCCTTGAGACCTATGCTGACTAACTCCCATAGGTCAAGATGCCCTGATCACAATAATGGAAATTTTATTTCCGTTATTCTTTTAAATGTCACATTTCAAAATGCAGCACTTAAAAAAGAGGTATACAGTTCTTTATTTTTTCACAAACTTGGAATGTAATTTGCCTTTAACACCTGTTCTTTTGGTGATTGTGTTTTCTTCTTCTCTGTGTCCAATATGACAAGGCCCAGAAGCTTCCATCTTCAGTTTAGTTGGTCATTCTTCTCAAACAGAGGGAGATGTTTCTCTTACCACTGCAACATAAAATTATACATTTTTCAAAATTTTGCTTCATTTTGAATATCTACTCTCTAATTCAATTTACTTATTTTTCAATTTACTCCAGCAGACAGATACTCTCAACTTTGTTTCCCAAATTTTCTTTTTTATTTTATCTAGAACAGTGAATTTGAGAGTTCTATTTTCTTCAAAGCTAGTATTTCCATGTCTTTCTCTTTTGTTTATCCTGATTATTTTACATTTACTTTTTTGACTTCCTAAGCTCATTCTCTCTCCATCCTTCTCTCTGTCTCTGTCTCTGTCTCTGTCTCTATCTCTGTCTCTCTCTCAGTAAGGAGTTATAGCATTCATGAGTGGTCTATAGACATGGGACTGGGGAAGCTAGGTTTATATTTGTTTATAAGTGGCAGTATTGGAGGATGGGGGATAAACTGGATTAAACCACAAGAGCTATGTGTCAGAGAAATATGAATTATTTTCAGAAAATTTTCTTGTAATGTCTATATATAGAGGGGATGGTGAGGTAAAGGGTCTGATGATGAAGATGACAGATAAACACCTACAAAAAATAAAAGAAAAGGATTGCATCTCCATGGTTATAAAAATCTGTAAGGGAAAAACTAGTCAGTGAAGGAAGTAAAAACTTAAGCTAGGATTGAAGTCTAGAATGAGGAGAGGTCATAGGTTCTGATTATGAAACCCAGAAGAGGAGCAAATTAGGTACCAATGATATGAAAAGAAATTAACATGAGACTCAAACTAAGGAGAATATTTTGGAGGTCCACTGAAGAGAACATCTCTAGAGCAGGGGAAAGAAGGAGATTGAAAGTGGAAAGAGCCAGACTTGAGTGTGTGCTCAGCAAACTCAGCAACTGGCTGAGTACCTGCAATTTAGGTCTTCAGGTAGAGTTGGTACCTGAAATAGTGAGGCCTCCAAGACAAAGAAAAGCAACAAAATACAGGAGTTGATGTTTGAAGATGAGTTTTAGGTCCTTACACTGTTCCTAGCAGCTCAGTAGTTTCTACAAAACAGGAAATATGGGAGCTCAGTGTTTTAACAGGTCCTAGGCAGGTATTTGTCATTATCCTTCTTTAATTTCTTCTTCATGTTGTATATTTCATAATCTGAGTCACCTACATAATTAGAAGGATTCCTACATTTCTTCCCTTTATTCCATCTCCTACTTCTTAGGAGTGGGGACACAGTACAGTCTCAAAGGATACAATACTAAGAAGTGCTATATGAGCAGGAAAGCACAACAGCTGAAAGCGCCCTCTCTGACCTAGAATTGGTTTCTTTCTTTTTTTTTTTTTTTGAAGTTCATAATGTGAATTTATTTGGAAATAGAGTTTTTTTTAATTTTAATCATTGTTCAAATACAGTTTTCTCCTTTTTACTCCCAATCCAGTCCCCCCTCCTACCCTCCCCACTTCCCTCCCATTACCACCCTCCCCTTAGTTTATGACCATGTGTCCTTTAAGTTTGTTCCTGTGAACCCTTCCCAATGTCCCCTTAAATTCCCTCTTCTCTCCCCTCAGGTCACTGTCAGCCTGTCCTCTATTTCAGTGTCTTTGGTTATATTTTGCTTGTTTCTTTGCTTTGTTATTTAGGATCCTGTTAAAGGTGAGATCATATGGTATTTGTCTTTCACTGCCTGGCTTGTTTCGCTAACCATAATGTTTTCCAGCTCCATCCATGCTGTTGCAAAGGGTAGGAGCTCCTTCTTTCTTTCTGCTGCATAGAATTGCATTCTGTAAATGTACCATAGTTTTTTGATCCATTCATTTACTGATGGGCATCTTGGTTGCTTCCAGCATCTAGCTATTGTAAATTGTGCTGCTGTGAACATTGGGATGCATAGGTTGTTTTGGATTGGTGTTTTAGTATTCTTAGGATAGAGTCCCAGCAGTGGAATTCCTGGGTCAAAAGGCAGATCCATTTTTAGTTTTCTGAGGAAGTTCCATACTGCTTTCCATAGTGGTTGTACCAGTCTGCAGTCCCACCAGCAGTGCACTAGGGTCCCCTTTTTTCCACATCCTCTCCAACACTTGTTGTTTGTTGCTTTGTTTATGATGGCCATTCTGACTGGTGTGAAGTGGTATCTCATTGTGGTTTTAATTTTCATCTCTCTGATAGCTAGCGATATTGAACATCTTTTCATGTGTCCTTGGATTTTCTGTATGTCCCCCTTGGAGAAGTGTCTGTTCAAGTCCTTTGCCCATTTTTTTAATTGGATTCCTTGTCTTCTTTGAGTGCAGTCTTGTAAGTTCTTTATATATTTTGGAGATTAAACCCTTGTCTGAGGTATCATTGGCAAACATGTTTTCCCATACAGTTGGTTCTCTTTTAATTTTCATACTGTTTTCTTTAGCTGTGCAGAAGCTTTTAATTTTGATGAGGTCCCATTTGTTTATTCTTTCCTTTATGTCCCTTGCTCTAGGGGACACGTCAGTAAAAAAGTTTCTTCGTGAAATATCTGAGATTTTCCTACCTACGTTCTCCTCTAGGACTTTAATGGTGTCACGTTTTATGTTTAAGTCTTTTATCCACCTTGAATTTATTTTTGTATATAGTGTAAGTTGGTGCTCAAGTTTCATTTTTTTGCACATGGCTGTCCAGTTCTCCCAACACCATTTGTTGAAGAGGCTATTTTTATTCCATTTAATGTTGCTGCCTCCTTTGTCAAATATTAATTGACCATAGAGACTTGGGTTTATTTCTGGGCTCTCTGTTCTGTTCCATTGGTCTGTGTGCCTGTTTTTATGCCAGTACCAGGCTGTTTTGATTACAGTGGCCTTGTAGTATAGTTTGGTGTTGGGTATTGTGATCCCTCCTACTTTACTCTTCTTTCTCAAAATTGCAGCAGCTATTCGGGGCCATATAAATTTTTGAAGTGTTTGTTCTATGTCTGTGAAATAAGCCATTGGTACTTTAATAGGTATTGCATTGAATGTGTAAATTGCTTTGGGTAGTATGGACATTTTGATGATATTAATTCTTCCAATCCATGAACACGGTATATGTTTCCATTTGTTTGTGACTTCCTTGATTTCTTTCTTCAGTGTTACGTAGTTTTCTGAATACAGGTCTTTTGCCTCTTTGGTTAGGTTTATTCCTAGGTATTTTATTTTTCTTTTTGCTATTTCAAATGGGACTTTTTTCATTGATTTCTGCTTTTGCTGTTTCATTGTTGGTGTACAGAAATGCCTTTGATTTCTGGATATTGACTTTGTATCCCACTGTTTTGCCAAATTCATTTATTAGGTCAAGCAGTTTTTTGGCAGAATCTATAGGATTTTCTATGTATACTATCATGTCATCTGCAAACAGTGACAGTTTTGTTTCCTCCTTTCTGATTTGACTGCCTTTTATTTCCTTTTCTTGTCTGATTGCTGTGGCTAAAACTTCCAATACTATATTGAATAGAAGTGGGGAAAGTGGACAGCCTTGTCTTGTTCCTGATCTTAGTGGAAAAGATTTTAATTTTTGCCCATTGAGTATGATGTTGGCTGAAGGTCTCTCATATATGGCCTTTATTATGTTGAGGAATGATCCCTCTATTCCCATTTTGCTGAGTGTTTTTATCATGAATGGGTGCTATACCTTATCAAATGCTTTTTCTGCATCAATTGATATGATCATGTGGTTTTTGTCTTTGCTTTTGTTTATGTGATGTATTACATTTACTGACTTGCCAATATTGAACCATCCTTGCATCCCTGGAATGAATCCCACTTGGTCATGGTGTATGATCTTTGTAATGTATTGTTGGATGTGGTTTGCCAGTATTTTGTTGAGGATTTTAGCATCAATGTTCATCAGTGATATTGGCCTGAAGTCTTCTTTCTTTGTTGTGTCTTTATTTGGTTTTGGAATTAGGATGATGTTGGCCTCATATAAAGAGTTTGGGAGACTCCCATCTTTTTGGATTTTTTGGAATAGTCTGTGAAGGATAGGGGTTAGCTCTTCCTTAAATGCTTTGTAGAATTCTCCTGTGAAACCATCTGGTCCAGGGCTTTTGTGTGTTGGGAGTTTTTTGATTTCTGCTTCAATTTCTTTTGTTGTTATTGGTCTGTTCAGGCTTTCTGCTTCTTTTTCATTGAGTTTTGGAAGATTATATTTTTCTAGAAAGTTGTCCATTTGACCTAGGTTTTCAAATTTCTTGGCATATAGCTCTTTGTAGTAATTTCTTACAATGCTTTGTATTTCTGTGGTATCTATCCTCTTTCATTTCTGATTGTGTTTATTTGGGTCTTCTCTCTTTTTTTCTTGATGAGTCTGCTTAAAGGCTTGTTGATTTTGTTTATCTTTTCAAAGAACTCGCCCTTGGATTCATTGATCCTTAGAATTGTGCTTTTAGTCTCTATGTCATTTAATTCTGCTCTGATCTTGGTTATTTCCTTCCTTCTGCTTGATCTGGGCTGCCGTTGTTGTTGTTCCTCGAGTTCTTGTAGACATAGGGTTAGGTTGTTTGTTTCGAATGTTTCTAACCTTTTTAGGTGGGCCTGTATCGCTATGAACTTCCCTCTCAGGACTGCCTTGGCTGTGTCCCATAAGTTTTGGGTTGTTGTGAGTTCGTTTTCATTTGTTTCCAGAAACCTTTTGATTTCTTCCCTAATATCATTCTTGACCCATTCATTGTTTAATAGCATGCTATTTAATCTCCATGATTTTGAGTGTTTGGGGTTTTTTTCCTTGGGGTTGGTTTCTAGCTTCAGTCCCTTGTGGTCTGAGAAAATGCTTGGTATGATTTCAATTTTCTTGAAATTCTTGAGGCTTGTTTTGTGTCCTATCATGTGGTCTACGCTTGAAAATGTTACGTGTACATCTGAAAAGAATGTATATTTAGCTTCTTTTGAATGGAGGGCTCTGTATATATCAGTAAAGGCCATTTCATCAAGGGTATTGTTCAATGCCACAATATCTTTGTTGACATTTTGTTTAGAAGATCTGTCCATTTTTGATAGTGGGGTGTTAATATCTCTGACTTAATTGTGTTGCTGTCCATATCTT